GATCCTGTGACTACGTCGTTGGATCCCTGCCCGGAAACCTTACTGTATACTTACCTTGGAGGCGCACTGTCAGTTCTGCAAGGTCAACCCACTGGCTTCTGTACCTTTGGTGCGTGGTGTGGATGTAGTGCGCCTCTCTCCGCATCTCGGAGATTGTGGGTCAATGCCAGGACGGTCATCGAGACATTGACATGGTTAGACTAAGGGTAGCAAGAACAAAAGATACTTGCCGGCTTCGAAGCTTTTGGCAGTGAATAGTCCATCCACCAAGGTAGACGACATGGTGGACGAATAAGGTTTGATACCACGACAGGACACCAATTACCACAACAAGACATACATGATCACCACAGGATTACTGCTGACGAAAAGCTCATGGTGTTTGGAATGAACAGCTCAGCAAGCTCCAAGGGAAACAACAGACACACAGACTCACTAAGGTGCTTTAAAACTAGGCAACCTCCAGCTGTGGAAGTGGCTCAATTTGCTCAGATTGATGGTTACTACAGGCTACTGGCTACTGCAGGCTTAGCTATTATGAGATTCGTGGGCAGCGTTTTGGCTGTGCGAACGGACAACTTGCAGATGGAAGTCCTGGCGCGCAGGTACTTACCGTGCGTTTCTCGGAGCCACCGAAGGGCAGCATTGAGGAGTGTGTGAGGTTTTTTTGGAGCCGTGCCACGACGTGTGTTGGATAAGCCCGACCTGCAGATTCGACAGTCGAAAGATCAACTCCCAATACATCGTAAATGCAAAGTCTCAGAGTTAAGACACATCATGCTGCCCTAGGCAGTGTCGAGGCAAAAGAACTATCCGCAGTGAAGATTTGCCTGGCACATCTAGATCGTTCATGCTTATGGAATCTGTCTGTGGCTAAACTGTTTTGAAGGTTGAGGAGGCAGATCAGCAACAGATTTCAATGGGCCGCACGATTGAGATTGCAATGTCAGTGTCACTACGGCCTTCAAACAACTTCTGGACTGCGTACAAGCTTCTGCTCTCTTGAACTGAGTGCCTACATATATATATATATATTATAATATAATACAGCAATGCAGTTCTTAATCAAAAGGATGGGCTTTTGTTTTGGCCAAGAAACGAGGTCAGCAGGATTCTTGGTCGCATCCGGCTCATCGTAGGAGGTTGTGGGCCAGATCAACTTTGCTGGAATGCAAGCCACCACCGGCGGGTCAGTGCAACACTTCCAGAGTCACTTGACCAAATGAGGTGGATCAATGGCTTTGCAGGAGGGGTCATCCAATTCATCCCTCTCACACATGAGTGGGGTCAGAACTATCTCAGCAGCCCGGCAAAAATGCTTGGTTTCTTGCGCATGGAGATTTAATAAGGATTCTATGGCTTATTGCCAGATTGCCGTGGAGAGCAATGCAGACCTGCCAGCTGCTCCAGTGGCCTTTCTTTGGCATCATCAACTATTCAGTACTGCTTGCGGCTCCACCCAAGCAATGACATTGAGCTTCATGGCATAGGGTTTGACCCAAACCTGGCTCTCATCCCTAAGAGTCCAACTTCGGCCAATCAAGAACTCCTGCGCAGAGTCTTAGGAGCGATGTGGGACCAATCCTGCCTGATGCTGAGGCCGGTATGTGGATTCCAATCGACCCAAGACGGTAGTACAGGCGTCTGCGCTGCGCTCAGACTTTGGTCAGTTGGAAGAACCTGATCGGGAGCTAGTACAAAATGATGGTGGAAATCAAGTCCTGGTAAGAATCGTGCTTATCCAAGGCTTGCAACACCCCACTTATAAACATTTTGATTGGATGTAGGGTTGCCAGAAGGACGCAACCTAGCAGATATGAGCTGAAGATGTTGAACAGGCATAAAGGGACAGGTCGGTTTTGCTACAAAATACAGCCGAATCAATCAGTGGTTGCTGCCCATCTCATAGTCTTCAGTCTTCCTCCAATTCTCAACCTCAGGCGGAAAGAACTGAGAAACCCACTGAAAGAAGCGTGTCTGAACAGACACTGACCGGACAAAGAAACTCGTTGAGACTCGTTGAGACCGGATGATTCCTAAGGTTTCTGAGGGTCAGAAGGTCTGGGTGTTGGCCTGGAGTTCCCAGGCAAGACTGAGATTTGCCGAGAGAATCTGAGGTGCAAAGACTTACCCTTGGTACATGTGAGCAACCGCCAAAACCTGCAATGACTAATTTAGTAAAGAGCGGTCGTGAATCTCAGGAATTGGACTAAAACCGGAGAAAGAGTACGTTTTGGCAGACGCTCATGTTGTTACGTGTACTGAGTTTACTATGTACTTTATGCTCCAGGGCTTTCCTTGCCAGGTCTTTCAGAAGGCAGCGGCCACGGCCGAGCTCGAGATAGGCCTCATCAGGTTAGGTTTCCCTCCATTTGTTTGCTGTTCGTGATTGCAAGGTGTTGTTGTTCGGGTATTTGCCAACCCTTTGGGGTAGGTAAACTGACCGCAACAAGTTGGAAGGTTCCCAACATAGTTGTTTGGTAACGGTTGTAACAACTGTATAATAGACTCCAGTTCTTTATTGAAACTATATAGGTCAAATCATGTCAAATCCTTATTGGCCGATCCTTTCTATGAGCAGAATCTCACAACTTTCAATGCACTCATCGCACTTTAGTCGGCCACCTGAAGGGAAAGGACCAATGGCAGTGTTTTTCCATCGCCGTTCCGACGTCCCAGGCAGTCGAAGCACTGCAGAACCCTAGGCAGTAGCTGAGAACTGAACCGGCCATCACAAAGCACCAAAACCACAGTGACCAAGCGGCATGCAGCCATATAGAATGGAAGAGCATACAAATTTGACCCAAGAGAATTCATGAGACTTCCAATGCAGTGAAAAGACAGCTTTCTACTAACTAGAAGCTACTAGGTGGAGGCCATCGCTATTAGGTTGGAGGCCATCGCTACTAGTAACGAGAAAGCTTTCTAGTAACACATCCAGATCTTAGCGAATCGTTGAAGCAGTGCCGGACGTCCGGGAGGCGGGGCTCACTTGCTCGGCTCGCCGTTTAAACCATATTTGCAAAGCGGAGATTGCGAAACGCATTGCTAGGTTTCCCTATGGCGAAAGACAGTTAAGTTTCGCTAAAAATCTGGGAACCAAATGAATAGTGCGAGCGCTTCTTCAAGGAAGCTTCCCCCCACCGCCCTAAGGAGCTTCCTTGAAGAAGCGTGAGCTATCCTGCGTCCGTGCTAACGTTCTTGTAGCTACTAGCTACCTAGCTACTACTAGCTACCTACCTAGCTAACCTACCTCACCTCTACTAGCGGCCTAACCGCCCCGGCCAAAAAGAAAAAGAGAAAATAAAGGACGCTTTTGAGCGCAGGACCACAATTGTACCGTACATCCGAGGTCATGTCAGCCCCTGCGCTCGATGAAGTTGGATGGGCACCTTGGTGGCGACAAGAGTTGACTGCACTATGTGCACGGTTCGAAGCGACCCTTCGGTTGGTTGCTGATTGGTCCTGAATGTCCTGGGATGTTGCTTTTTGAGTTTGGGAGGGGCGAAACGACGAAGTAATAATGGGATTGAGTTCCAAGCCCAATGCCAGAAAGTTGTCTTTGGAACACGGTCAGCTGGGTGTCATGCATCATGGAGAGAGAGAGAGAGAGAGCAAACTCAGCGATTTGAGACTGTCAGGGCTCCTTTCTGGCGTTCAAGTGGCTGGATTCCTTGGTGTGCGCCTCATTTTGTCTCTGCAGCCGGAAGCCGCGAACCAATTGGTCAGTCACATCTCTTGAACAGTAGCTTGGCAGCGTGTGGGTCTGAGCATGGGTCATTGGTCGCTCATGGGATTTCTCGACCTGAGGTGAACACTGGATACCAAAGACAAGTTAATTTGCAAGACAGCCCTCCACTGGCGGATCAAGAGGATACTGCCAGAAATACGCCACTTGGCATTGACATGCTTGGGGCTGAAGATGTTGGCCGAAATAGCAAGTACTGTACATGGAAGACGTGGGGAAGGCGTGACTCTGGCAACGAAGAAGATGTATTGTATCAGGACAAGGGGAAGGGTGGATAATATTCGATAGCAGACCCTTTTTGCATCTTTTTGTAAACGTTTAGGCGCCGATATGTGCGGCTGTTGGAGGAGCAGGAGCGTGCTGGCAAGTGGGCACCTCAGGAACTCTGCCTGAAAGAACCTGTTTACGTCAAAAGGCTATACCATTTTGGCTGCAGCCAACTCATATGCCCTGATTTGGAGAATGAATTAGAGAAAGTGTATGGTGAGGGTAGTTGGTGGAGTAGGACAAGCTCAAAGGCCCAATTCCCTACACTCCTAGACCCTTCCACGTGGTTCCCTGAAGGGTTGGAAGGTGTGAGACTTGGCTCCTTGGGGTACAGAACTCCCTTGGGCTCTGCCTGCGTTTAACGGAACTCTCCAGTCGGGCGCAGGCGCCACCCCTTGATCCACGCGATCTTCTGGGTCTTTTGGCCGCAGCTGCTCCTCTTGCGCGGGCCCCTGTTGCGGCTTTGTTCGACCGTTGGTGGCTTGAAAAGACGAAAGCCACTGTGAGTAAGGGCCTGAGGATCACAGGTTGTAGTCAGAAGCTGCAGAAGTTTGGTTGAGTTGGTTGACAATTACTTTTCTTTTGCAATGATGGACCGCTGGACAGACTCACAAGGCAGTCGATGAAGATCTCGCAGTACTTGCTCGGCACGGGCGCCTATCAGATGAAAAGTAGCAACAGCAGTCCCAGGACACTGGCTGCCATGGCTGCTTTTTGTTCGTGAAGAAACAGCTTGTTAGGGCCCATCAGGCCGATTGGTGGAGTCTGCTTCTTTTTGGGACATTGGCTTCAGCTCCGCCACAGGGAGTCCAGGTGAGATGATGTGCTCAACAAACATTCAATGTCATAGGCATTTGGCAAAGAGATTGTCATAGGCATGCACAATGACAAAGAATGTTCTGTAATGCTTCACGTGATTCTTTCTTGGGGGGAAAGCGTCGAAACCGATCCGATCCTGCAAGCGCAGACGGGTGAGACACCTGCCATGGCCACTTACGACACCGTTCATGTGGGCGGGCTTCCGCCGGGCACCAGCGAGCAATCGGTCCGGGAGATCTTTGGGCAGTACGCTCCGATTCATGCGAGCAAGGTCTTGGAGACAGGTCCGGGCCAAGCCGTGGAAGCTCTCGTGGGCATTGGGAAAGAGGCATCCAAGTGGCTGGTGGAGACACTTGACTCAGTGAAGTAGTGGTGGTGCATGTTTTTTTCTGGGATTCCCTTGTTAAAGTATACTTTTGTTCCTTCTTTTGGAGCCTTTGAACCAGTAAGGAACTTGAACGGCAACATCCCACAAGGCTTGCAGACGCCAGTGACGGTCCAGATGGTGCCTGATCAGGCTGCCCCAGCTCCAGCCCCAGCAACCAGTGGACCAGGCGCCAGCTATGGAAGCTCACCGGGCACGGGCAAAGACAACTTACAGATTCGGGGCCTTCCAGACGGTTGCACTGATGACTACATGAAACAAATCTTCGCACAGTATGCCAACGTGATCGGGTGCAAAGTGGTTCCATCGTCCGGCAGGGGTGAGATCGTGGGGTATATTCGTTTTGCTTCGGCAGAGGAGGCCAAATACATCCTGGACACCTTGAACGGCAACATTCCTCAAGGCTTGCAGAACCCTTTGTCCATCAAGTATGCCGGTGATCGGGCTGGGCTTGTTGGCTCCGATCGCACCGAGGAGGGTGATTGGAAGTGCGAGCTTTGTTCCAACGTCAACTTCCGCAGGAGAGACTACTGCAACATTTGTACCAACCCTCGTCCAGCACATATCAATGGAAAAGGGGCAAGAGGCGCACCACCAGGTCCCCTGGCATGAGCATCAAGTAATTGTTCGCAGAGTTAGAAGCCAGAAAACACATCGAAGGATCACAACATATTCACACCATCAAAACTTCCTGGCAGGGTAGACAGAGCAAGAAAACAGAGCAACAACTAGCGGGCAGATTTTCACATGGAGTGTATACTCGCAGTCTTTCTTAACACTCTGACATTGGTTTGCTGTTAACTCAGTTCCCAAGTCAAAGAAAGGTGGTGGAACAGAAAGGCGAAGAGTCCAAGCATTTGTAGGTGTTTGAACAAAGTGGTTTCACACTTGACTGCGGAAGCTAGTTACTGCATTAGCCCTTTACTGCAAGAACGGTAAGGTGCAAGGGTCCGAAGAACAGAACTGCTTAACAAACGCACTAGCACTTTACCAAAGCTAAGGAAACCTGTTTTG